GGAATCAACCCTAATACCAACATATGTTCCTCCCAGTTGTCTCATTGTTAACTTCTTTGTAACCCTAAAGCTACATGAGATCTGTCTGGAAAAAATGCAGCCACTGTTAATATAATGAGAATGGTTTGTATGACATTGATGTAATCCAGCAGCCAAGGAGAGTGAACTGGAAATGAGCATGCCTCTAACAATGATGACTTCACTGTACTAATCAGTCTATTTCATTCAAAATGACTAGTAGAGAATCAAATTTGTATCAGATTTTGCATTAAACTTGAACATTCCTTGCAGATACTATTTGGATGATTCAGAAGGACACAGTTTTGGGCAACTGGTTATTGGCAGCTTTATCACAACAATGCATCTGCTCATGCATCACATCTTGTGCAGAATTTTAGTGAAACATCACATTACTCAGGTAACTCAGCCCCTCTATAGTCCAGATTTGGTGCGCCGTCACTTCCAGCTTTTCCCAAAACTAAAATCAACTTTGAAAGGGAAGAGATTTCAGACCATCAATGAGATTCAGGAAATTGTGATGGGGCAGCTGATGGCAATTGGGAGAACTGTATGAGGTCCCACGGTACCTACTTGAAGGGAACTGAGGCATCATTGTCCTATGTCCAAATGTACATAACATTTCTTGTATCTTTTATCTTCTTCAATAAATGTCTGTTTTCCATATTACAGGGATGGGTACCTTCTGGACAGACCTCATATATGTATGTAGAAAGTGCTCAATAAAGACTTAAGAACTGATTGAAATTAGAATATATAAATACTTTCACAACAGAACTGTCCCATCCTCCTTTGTTAACACTAGGTCAATCACAGTAGTTGGTACTTAGCAGGTACTTCAAATTTTTTTTGTGGAATAAAAATATGATTTTCAAAGCATGACCATGAATTTCTAGATTATCAATGCACAATCCCATCTGACAGTAAGTGGGGAATATTATAAAATACTGACTGTACTACATAGGTATAACGTCCTCTGTATCCTTTGACTCACCTCTCGGAGTTGCCCAGATGGTATGAAAGAAAAAGGGGGATTCAGAAAACTATCCTTTAGCACATGGGATTTTATGAGTCAAATTGCGGGGAAAATCTGACTCCGTGTGGACTTCCATTTTGTATGTCATTCTTTCTCCGTAAGCTCAGTTTGAATGATGTCAGGAGTTCCGGAAGTCAAAATTGTGTGGGGGAATGGATCCAATACTGACTCATACTCTGTGGAAGAAATCTACACCATAGTCTGGATGAGATAATTTGGTTGTGAGTGCTAGGGATATGAGTGCTGATCGTAGAGGAAAAAGGGCAACCAAGGTGTAAATTTTGTCTTACGACTTCTTACTCACTTAAGGATAGTATGAGATATGATCGAAAATATTGCTGACGCTTAATGCATAACTGTAGCCAGTTTTCAGAAAAAAAGTCTGGCTGAAAAGAAAAAGGAAAGTTTTCAGTCCCCTTTTTCTTACTAATATGGTCACACTTTGGCTCCTGGTGGGTTTGAAAAACTTTGAAAGGATATCTTGGTGGTGAATTATTCTGCAGTCTCAGTGTTGGCTGAACCAACAAAGTGTGAAACCTCTAGTTTGCATGTGCAACCTAAGGTGTTTTACAGGCAGAAAAGAGAGGGAAATGTCTTCTTTGACAAAGTTTGTAAGACAGGAAAAAAGTCATAAAAGAATATACTATTGTAGTGACAGTATTCTGAACCAAAGAATTGTGTGTTGAAAGATGCAAATTTAATACCACAAGATTCACTTCTAGCCTGGGATACAGAGCCAGTTACATAATTTGCAGGAACCTGTGCAAAATGAAAATGGGGGCCCTTTGCTAAAAAACTATTAGAAATTTCAGTAAGGTAACAATAGGACATTAAACCAATTATGGGTTGTTCTAAATAAATGTGGGGTCCTGATAGATTTAATGTCCATGAATTTGAGTCTGCTGGGATTTCTCACCAATAATTTTAAAACTTTTATTTGAAGTCTTACTATTTTTTAAGGATGTAAAGAGTAACTATTATCTCACAAATTCTGAAGAAAAAAATTCCAGAAACCAAATCCTGATAAAATTTGATGGCTTGAATTTGCATATCTAACACAGTTTTAGGCACATGCAAAAACCCTAGTGGGCACTGACTGATGCGGGCGCAGGTTGATTAGAGAAAGGGTCTTGTTTCTACACTCAGCTCTGCATTTTCCAGTTGAATGAATTTCAGCACAACACTTTGTTTTACTGGATCTTGATGTACAAATCTAAAAAATGAGGGAATAGACCATAAATAATCTCTAAAATTTCATAATCCTGTTATTATGCTTGAAGAGGCTATGAAGTGTCAGTAGAGCTTGAATGTTGGCCATGTAATTACTGGTCCTAGACATCTTTTGCATATTGTAAACACCTTTCTAATCCATACCTGTAATTTTAAATAGGCATTTTCAAAAATGTACAAATGCCCAGACAATATGCAACTCCTATTTGTGTATCTCACTATTCTTTACTCCTCACCCCCAATGCCATATTCCAGTGAATAAATCAAGGGAACAATTATAACTCTTTTCCAGAGAGTTAGGAATACTTTCCCCAGATACTTAGCCAGTGGCTTCCTGGAAGGTATTGAGTGCCTTCAGTGTACCTCAAAGGTCTGATAAGGGTTTCTTGTTGCTGTGTGACCTATAAGCACACTACTTGGTCCATGTTTTTCCTTGAGGACCACTATGCTAGAGCTATGTGGTCAGCAGTGTGCTTTCTGCACTTTTCACTGGCTTAACACTGGCTTCATGACATGAAGCTTTGGTCATGCAGATATGTTTTGATCTTGTTTGTTCTTTGGGGAGATAGCCCCTCAAAGAGTTTTCAGGCCTTTTTCAAATAAAACAATACATAGTATTGTCTCAGAAAGCAGGATTTGGCTAAAGATATAAGCATCATGTTTCCAACATAATCATAAATTTTGTTTAATTAAAAACTAGTTTCCTATAGGTTAGGTCTGATAACATTGGGATTAGAACTTTAGGGAAAATTACTCAAAGAAGATCCTTAATTAAGCATTCAAATTCACATTTATTAGTGCTGTCTGTGGGCAAATGTCCAGGCTGAAATGTTTTTAGGGAAGAAAATAGTGTTGTACGAGAAATGAAACAATTTTTTATTTTAAGGAACTTAGTCTAACATGGGAGACAGCACATGAATAACTAACTCTAATATGAAACTGAGGGATTAGAATTCTAAGAACTTAAAGTATGAAACAAGTGCTAGTCCTGTGAGCTTAATTTTAAGAAGAATAATTTTAAGAAGGGATGCCCTGGCTGGCGTAGCTCAGTGGAATGAGCGCAGGCTGTGAACCAAAGTGTCGCAGGTTTGATTCCCAGTCAGGGCACATGCCTGGGTTGCAGGCCACAGCCCCCAGCAACCGCACATTGATGTTTCTCTCTCTCTCTCTCTCTTTCTCCCTCCCTTCCCTTTCTAAAATTAAATAAATAAAATCTTAAAAAATTTAAAAAAAAAGAAGGGAGAACTCAGAAATAATGCCTTTTAGGCTGGGCTTGGATAAGTGGGCACAGATGGATAAGTGTACCCTCAGAGGTACAGATGAAGGAAAAGAGAGCTCAAGGCTAAAGGAATAGAATTAGAAAAAGTTCAGCATCTATTATGGGAATGATGATCATCCAGCATGCCCAATAATAACAGATAACTTTGACTGAGTGCTTACTACCTGACAGGCAAAATTCTTAGCACTTTATATGTATTGTGTGATTTAATTTTCAACTGAGGCCTGGAAGGAGGCTAATGTTAGGCCTATTTTGGAGTCCTAGATGCTCAAAATCACATGGCTAGATAGTAGTGGAGTCAGAATTCAAGTCCATGTTGATATATATGATACTTCAGGGCACACAGTGCAGGGTGAAATGCAAGGTGGGCTGGAACCAAAGAGTGGCTGGCCTTCTGTATCATCCCCACGTGCTTCACTTCATAAGTAATTATAAGGGAGGAGAAAGAATTCTATGTTTTTTTGTATTTGGAAGGAAAAGAAATTAAAAATTTTAAAAATCCTCCATTGTTAATGATTATTTAGAAAAACTGACCACCCAGAAGTATATTGTTCAACATAGTAGCCTCTAGCCACATTGACTTGAGCATTTGAAATATGATTAGTCTAAATTGAAATGTGCTATAGGTATAAAATGTGTACCCAACTCTAAGACTTAGTGTGGTAAAAAGAATGCATATAAAACATTTTAATAATGTTGTATATTGATACATATTGAAATATTTTGAATGTATTGGTTTATATACAATACATTTTAAAAATTATTTTTACCTGTTTATTTTTAGTTTTATTAATGGGGCTACTAGAAAATTTTAATTTATCTATTTGGCTTGCATTAGATTTTTTATTGGGCAGTATTGGTCCAGAGAAATTTAAAGTTATGGTAATATTTAACCAACTCTGATGAAGGACTTCCTCACCACATTAGTCTTTAACCACATTCTTTCCTTGCTTTCTGGCTATTTGCAAGAAAAATGTGAAAAAGTGCCCCCTTTGTAAAGGTTTGAGAACCCCTAGAATTTCCTTTTTACTTGCTCCAGACCACAAACAAATGATCAATGTCCTCCCTCAACACCTTGGAGCCAACATTTCGCAAGGGCAAAGGGAGGAGGTGCAAAAAAATTTCCAATTCCTGAATGGTGTGAAGTAAAAGTGCTTTCTGGGGATCCCACAAGTATGGCATGGTGGGCATAATGGGTCTGTCTCATCATCAAAAGACCCAAGGAGTTGAAAGGAAACTCTAACTACAACACCAAAATGCCACAAAACCATAGTTATTAATACGAACTAGCATCTCAGTCTATCTGTCACCATCTCATTTAAAAAAAAACTTGTGAAAATACGTAATCCTGATGAGACTCCAATTGGGTATAAATACCAGCAGCAAAAGGAGATGCAGTACATTTTTCTGATTGTCTTCAGGTGGGCTACTCAAGAGAAAGATCAGCTGAGTCCTTTGGACCTGACTGACTTAATTCAGAAGCTACCGATTTCAACGACTTTGGCCTAACTCTCTCCAAAACAATGAAATACACAAGTTATATCTTAGCTTTTCAGCTTTGCGCGATTTTGGGTTTTTCTAGCTACCTCTGCCAGGCGATATCTATTAAAGAAATTGAAAACCTTAAAGAACATTTTGTAAGTATGACCTTTTAATAATACTTGTTTGTGTTTGAAATTACTGAATGTTGACTGGGAATTGTATCCATGATAGGCTGTCATCTCTAGTCCACAGTCATCTTGAAACTTGGTGTTATTTTGACTGTTGACTGGATGAGTTTTTAACTGAATGATCTAGATTTTGCTTTAACCCTCTACTCAATTTGCTATCAAGACTAAGAGGGCATTTGTGAAAGATGGGCATAATACGGTATAAAACAGGATGATGTTGATGATTTTGTTATAAGAATCCATTCAATTTTTATCTCAAGTAGCATATGTATTGAAAGAATGAGTGGTTATCAGTTTATGGTTTCTCAAACTACCGTGATGGTGACAGTATAGTGTCAAGATTAGCATTAAAAATAAATATCTGAAATAATTAATCAATTAAAGAAGGTAATGTTCTTGAAACTTTGGCTTTAAAAAATCACATATAGGTGTTTTTCTCCAAAAAGCAGTTTTAAAATTTGACTCCCCCATTTGTGATATCTATGAATTACCCTGAACTCAGTCCCTTGCTGAGATTCTCTAGGAGTTATAATCTCACTTGTATTTAATTTTTTTGTTTTATTAAATACATTTCTTTTAAAATTTTAGTTATTATTAAAGTAGTTTTTGTATTTTAAATATTCTATTTGTCCAAAATTTAGCTATTATAATAACTTCCATATTTATGGTCAAACTTTCATAAGCTATTTTATTTTCAAAACACTCAATCAGATCTCTCTCACACACATACCTATCTTCTAAAGCTGACGTAATACCAAAATAGGAGGAACACAGGTAGATATTATAAATATCTCTACCATAGGGGGGCAGTATTTTATAGTCAGATAGCTGTTGATTTTTTTTTTACTAGGCTTGAAGATACTTTAAAAAACTGTAGTTATTTGAGATGATTGAAGTATCAGCCTTGTTGAGTTCATTTGTGACAAATCAATTTAAGGATTATACTAGAAAATAAGAAAGTTAAAAGAACACAGTAGTCGTTGGCAATATCCAACATAATAGCTTTTGGGAATACTTGCTAGGAGAAAACAGGGGGTTGAAAAGAAAATCAATGAATTTTCAGCATCTGAGTGCATCTGAGTGCAATAAAACTTGTATTTTTATGTGGCTTATGAACTAATTATGAACCTGTTTCCCCCTTTTTTTTCAGAATGCAAGTAAGTCAGATGTAGCAGACAATGAGACTCTCTTCTCAAATGTTTTGAAGAACTGGAGAGAGGTAAGCTGAATATTTCCATTTGGTTGACTTTCCTGTTGCTTATTTCCTGATGGATAAATTTATATCAACCTCTCTTTGTGCTCTTTCCTCCTAAGGAGAGCGACAGAAAAATATTTCAGAGCCAAATTGTCTCCTTCTACTTCAAACTCTTTGACTCCTTAAAAGACAACCAGAACATTCAGAGCAGCGTGGAAGCGATCAAGGAAGACCTGCGTGTTAAGTTCTTCAACAGCAGCAACAGCAAAATGGAGGACTTCAAGAAGCTGATTCAAATTCCAGTGAGTGTATCTTAATTCTTTCTTTGGTTTCATTGCAGAGGCTCTTGCAAAAGCACTTAATGCCCAGAACTGAGAAATTAGCTACTGGGTAAAGTTGTTAAAACTGTGAAATAAACCCATGGCCCAATCTTCTCCATACTCCTTCCATTTGTGCTTTTGGGTGATTTTGTCGAGTCAGTATGGGGATTATTTAATTTCATTGTTTGGGAAAAAGCTGGCATCATGACTCTTGAACAAAGGTGAATGGACAAATCCAGTAAAGAAGAAGTGGTGAAGAAGTTGAGGGAGGTGTTTAGGAGCAGTTCTCTCATTGCCCTTTGCTTGTGTGATGGAAATTCTCTTGTTTTGGATGGGAGGCTACATGTCTTAATGGAAAGAACAGTGGGAGGGGAGAGATTTGTGCTCTCCTCCTAGCTCGACCGCCAAGGAACTGGGTGAATTCAGATGAATCGTAGGCCTGGCTTAGTTTCCCATCATAAAGGGAACCTGTTGGGTTCACTGTAATTTCTACAGTCTCCTTAGCTCTAAATCTGTACAATGCCATGGATAGAAAATGAGAATGAAGTAGGAGAGAGCTATGGTCTTTGAAAAGGCACCAGGGCATGCCACTGCCAGGCGCTGGCCAACCTCTCATATTGTACAGCCCAAGAAGAGGCAAGAGTATTTATTTGCTTTCAGAAAAGAAAATAGGTAAAACTTATACCTTCTGAAATAACTGTTTATCAACTTTTGGATATTAGAATGTGTATCTCAGCTGGAGAAATCCTTAGACTCTTGAACTTTGTCTTGAGTCTTTAAAGCTTGAGTCTAGAAGCTGCAAAACAACTTTGAAGCATAAAGGCAAATCATCTTTCCCAAAATTTTATCTAAGAGACAAAGACCTCCAGATTCCTTTGGATTTGGCTTTGATATAGAGAAATATGAGAAAGGGAGGGATCATGATACAACTTGTACTATCAGACTTTGTGCCCAACCCTCCCTATACATGGAACTGAAATAAGTACTTGCTCTTCAGGATTTTTCTAGTCCTGAAGATGGTACAACAGTGGCTTGGAAAATTTTTTTAAAGACAATTACTGCTTTCCACTCATAGTGTTTTCCAATGTTCAGCAGTTCTCCTTTGGCCACAGGCTAGACCTAAAAAGCACTTCCCCCTAACCCAGTGCTGCCCTTGGCTTGCCACTAGATCTGGATAAGTCTCTTAGCTTCTTGGTGATACTTAGAATACTGGAAAATACAATTTATCACTTGCAAACACACAGCTGATAGGAAATTTATCTACTTTGCTGTAAGTAGGCCTTGAAAACAATCTGTTGATCCCCTCCTTCTGGAAGCTCCAAGCCTCCTGCTTCATGATGGGCAATCTTGAGTGAGCTCTCAACCATTCTCCTCTTTTACTCAATCATTAATATATTTAAGGCATGTTGGCCTTTATAAGTAGTCTTGCAGCCTTGAATCCTCCTAATTGTTCTCAAGAATGTGGCTGAGTGGCTGCACTGTTTCCAGCATGAGAGAGAAACAGAGTGGCAGAGCCCAGGTAAAAGTAAATGGTCCTCATGTTATTAAGCATGAATTCATCTAAATGTTCCTATTGCCTAGAGTGAGGAAATAGTTCAATGCTCTGGAATAGAAGGCAGGGTACAGGGAAATTTGCTACAATTCTCAATTTTAAATGTTTATTGCAGTAATTACTTATTGCCATATAAAAATTATTTGTTTTATTTTTAATCCCATTATGGAAATGATGAGATTGACATAATTAGGAGAAATTAAAAATTATAGTATTCATTTGTCTTGGACCTGGTATTTACAAGGTACTAGACTATCTCAACGGTTCTCAAACTTTGGTGGGTATCAGTGTCACCTGTGGAGCTTGGTGGACCACACAATGGCCTAGGCCCTCTCTGACTTCATGAGCCTGGGTCTCTGAGTTCTTCATGAGGTCTCCAGGTTACTCTGCTAGACACCAAAGGTGAGAACCATTAGCCTGTATTAACTCACTAGATACAGCCAAGACTAAAGTACAAGGTGATAGAATTGGTAGAGTGCCTAGAAGTCACCTAAAATAGAAGTTCAGGGAGGTTAAGTGACTGGTTCAAAGTCAGAGTTATTGCTCACACAGAATTCAAACCCACATTTTTTGTCATTCCACTTTAGGGTCTTTTTACTATATAATGTTGAGGATTCTGGAGTATAAAACTTAAGGATATATCATGTGCCCCACCATATTACAGCATAACTAGCAATTTAATTATAATTTTAGTCTTAACTACTGAAGAGAGCACTACTGTATGTTAAGGCAATATATTGTCAGTAAAAACTATCTTTTTAAAGGAATACATCCATTTTCATGGACTATAACATTAACAGCAGATTATCTTGATGGCTTATATGCCTGAAATTAATTGTGCTGTGTCCTTTTCCAATAGGTAAATGATCTGAAGGTCCAGCGCAAAGCAATAAATGAACTCATCAGATTTATGAGTGAGCTGGCACCAGGATCTACCCTGAGGAAGCGGAGAAGGAGTCCGAAGCTGTTTCATGCCCGGAGTGCCTCAAAATAATCATCTTCCTGCCTGCAATGTTTGAATTTTTAAATCTCAATCTATTTATTATTTAATATTTTACATTATTTATATGGGGAATATATTTTAAACTCATGGTCAAAGTATTTATAATAGCAACATTTATGTAATGAAAATAAGTATCTATTAATATATGTGTTATTTATAATTCCTGTATCCTATGACTATTTTACTTGACACCCCCCCCCCCGCCTTTTTTTTTGACTGGCTAGGCACAGTTACTTGATTATAGGGCTCTATCTCAGGGGCCACTTGGCAGCCAACCTAAGCAAGACCCTATGGGTTGTGCAAGACCCTTGATGATATCATAAACACTTATAAATAAAATGATGCCATCCAGTCACTGCCTATTTGAGATCATGCCTGCATTCTGAGCCACTGCTTTAACGGCATGTCACACAGCACTTGAATGTGTAAGTCCTATGACTTGCCCCTGATAAAAACATCACATCTTATCTCATGCCTGGTGCTTCAGAGTATTGCTGACAATTGTGACTTCATCCAAATGCAAAGTATTTTATTTGTTTTGTTTATCAATATTTTATATATGAATAAAGCATAATTTCTTAACTATTTATGTTGTGTCAGACATTTTCTAAGTAAGGACTATGGTAAATGTACTACGTACTAATGGATTATCACAGGGAAAGTCAATTTCAGCTTTGGAAATCTTAGAATTGGATCAAGTCCCATTATATGTGGTGTTTCTCTCCACTGGCAATTTGTTGGCTTCCACTCTCCATTGGGCAGCTCTTTAAGTTATCATTCCAAAATACAGATTTAACCATATTACCACTGGCCTCAGAGCTTCTACTATGGAAAGTAGTCCAAATTGTTTAGCTTAGCACACAGAGATTTATTTATACCCTCTCCCTCAACTTCCCACTGCATTCTTCACTTTGGTATTCCCCATCTCCTCTGTCCACCTTGGCAAACATCACTGGGTATCAATAGTGAGATTGAGCTTTAGGGAAAGAGGCTGGATTAGAATCTTGGTTCTACCATTATGAGTACTGTGAATTTTAATGAATTACTTATATTCTCTAAGCTTCAGTTTTCTCATCAGGTGAAAAAAGGTGTAATTGTGCCTTCCTTATAATATTGTGGTGAGAGTTCATTCTTTCATTTAAAAAAATACTTATTGAAGCACCTACTATGTTCCTAGTGTTTCTAGGCACCTGAGATAACTTTGTGAACAAAACAGACAAGGATCCCCACCCTTGGGGAATTTAAAGTTTAACAAGGGGGGACAGGTAATCAACAAAATACATAATGTGTTAGTAAATGACATGGTGTGTTAGAAGGTGATAGGTACTATGGGAAAAAAATCAAAATGGGGGAATTGGGAAAAGTCTAAGTAGGGTAAAGTGGATGGGCTACAAGTTTAAATGGAGTGATTGTAGTTGGCTTTATTGAAGAGATGACATTTGAGGGAGCTATTGTAAGAGGTAAGAGAGGTAGCTATCTGGATTCCCAGCAAGGAAACATCCTTGTAAAGACTGTCAAATGGAGACTTGCTTTGCATGGCTTAAAGAAGTGTCAGCAGGCCAGTGTGGCTGAAACAGGTGAATAATTGGAGTCAAGAATAACTCCAATTTTTTAGCTGAGCAACTAAAAAGATGAAATTGTCACTAACAGAGATAAGGAATTAGAGTTAGAAGTTTAGGGGAGGATAATCAGAAGTTCAATTTTGAACATTAAGCCCATTAGACTTCAAAGTGGAGGTGCTGGGTAAACAATTGGCTAGATCAATCTAGAGTTGAGAGAGGAGTCTGAGCTGTTGACATAAATTTGGAAGTTAAGGCCCATGAAGAAGGTATTTAAAGACCTAATACCAGTGAGACTCATGAAGGTCATGAGGTGACGTAGTGAAAAGGAAAGCAAAGGATCAAGTCTTCAGGCATGCAATCATTAAGAGGCTAGGCAGGTACCAGCAGAGGAGACTGAAAAGATATGGCTGGTAAGATAAGAGGACAACCTAAAAAATGTGATAGCCTGAAAGCCACATGAAGAAATTGTTTTAGGAATAAACTGTTGAGTGCAGACAAGTCTAGTAAGATGAGGACTGTGAACTGACCACTACATTTAACAACATGGAGGGCACTGGCTGTCTGGGAGGAGAGAAGTTCTGATGCAGACTGAGGATGAAAGCCTGAGTGAAATGGGACAAGAGAGACCTTAGAGATAACAGGCATGGACAACTCTCTTTAGATGTTTATTTTGAAAGAGAGCAAGGAAAATGGTATCTGCCAGGATAAGAATGATAAAAAGAAATGTTAAGTTCTTTGTTGTTGTTGCTTTTAAGATGGGAGAAAAAAACAGCGTGTTATGTGCTGATGGAAATGACTAAATAAAAATAATAGATAACATAGGTGAGAGAGCAGGGAGAACTGCACAGTGAATAAGTAAGAGAGGTTACCTGAGGACACAGGAGGAACTGGCTTTTAGCAGGTGCACAGAAAGTTCATTTTTATTAATAGGTTGGAAGGTGGCTTATGTAAATTCTGATGTTGGTAAGTGGATAAATGTGGTGGTGAGAATTTTTTACTGGTTGTTTTAAGTTTTCTCAGTGAGATAGGAAGCTAAGAATGAGGTTCAAGGAAGAAGTGTTGGAGGCTTAGAAAGAGCAGAAGAACAAATGGATCAAGGGAGTATGATGTGGATTGCCAGGCAACCTCTTAACTGTCTCTTGGGGTCAGCAGTCTTGAAGTTAAGAGACACCAGTTGGTGTAGTTGAGTGTTTGTCTCTATCCATACAGGGCTATGCATGAAGACATAGACTAGGGAGAGAGTTTCATTTAGCAGACTTTAATTTGGTCAAGCAAGTAGGACAGAGGGATAGAGGACAAGGACTCACAGGGAGATACAAGGAGTATACTCAATAGCAGCTAGTGAGTTGGTGGCAAACTCTAAGTTGGCAAAGGAGAGAGAGTATGTCAAAAGAGAGTGAAATGTTTGGGTGAAAGAATATCTGCCCTACCTCCAGGTCCAAAAGATGAAAGAGAGAAAAGCATCCACCATTTGAAGGGGAAGTAGGGGAAGCAGTGTACTTAGGGGAAAATCAGTTTATCTTCTGAGCATGAGGAAGTTGAGTTATGATAGATTTCATTAGTGCTAGGTGGTGAATTCCAGAAGATCCAGTGAGCAAGATTAATTGAGGAGGTCATAAAAGGGAAGGTACTTAAGAATATGCCATGAGTCTGGGACTTCTTATGATCACTGACATTAGCAAAAATAATGGATATACTGAGATTAGTTCTGCCTATAATGATGGCAAGATTGTGAGGACAGAGAGGGTTAGGTGTCTGGGGATTCCTTCTCAACTATTTCATTTAATGCTTCTACAACAGTAGGGTTAAATGAAATACTTCATGTGAAGGGATCAGTTTAGTCCCTAACAATGATCAGTGGTCATTATTTTGATTATTGAGTAGGTAAGTAACAGTTGGTGAGACTTGACTCTAAAAATATTGAATTTTGATGAGACAAGATTGAAAAGAAATTGGGCAGATCTTGGCACAACTGCAACTGATAAGAGCTGTGGTTGGTGTCTTCAATCTTGTTAGCATTTAAAATTGAAAAAAAATAAAATGATTAAAGCAGACTTTAAGATATCTACAGATTAAAGGCTACTATAAGATAATGTTGTTTCTATCATAGAAGCAGACCATACCTAGATGGAAGGGATTGGAAATTCCTACTGTCAGTGTTTAAAAAGATCTTATTTATTTATTTTTAGAGAGAGGGGAAGTGAGGGAGAAAGAGAGGGAGAGAAACATCAATGTGTGGTTGCCTCTCCCATGTCTCCTACTAGGGACCTGGCCTGCAACCCAGGCATGTGCCCTGACTGGTGACCCTTTGGTTTGCAGGTTGGGGCTCAATTCACTGAGCCATACCAGCCAGGCTGTCAGGTTTTTTTTTTTGAGAAGTTACCAATCATGAAATGGGAAATGGAACCCCCAGGTGGTGGGCCTTGGTCTATGGCTACATAAACCAGCTACCTCTCTGAGGCTGGTTACTGAATTGGTGGCAAACTCTAAGCTGGTGAAGGAGGAGAGAGAGTATATCAAGGCATAGGAGAGTATGTCAAAATTCCTCAACACCAGGAGGGGCAGTTATTTCTGTAGGCTCATGGTAATAGTAGCAGCAGCCAGGGCAAACAGTGGGGGACTCTCTTGAGTAATGCCCTATGCTTGGTGACTCTAAGAAATATCTGGTACACCCTTGCTGGCAGGGTGATTTAGCAATTAGGCAATTGTACTTGAGCATTAACAATGAATTTTTCTTTTTCCTCTTCTTCTCCTCACTCTTTCTACCCCTTACCATCCTAAACAATATAATCCAAGCCATTCATTACCTCAAAATAAGGTGGGCATTTGTAGTTGCCCACAATAGGGAGTCATAATCTAAGCAAAATGAGAAGGGTACAGATGAAGGTGGAAAATCTTCTGTGGAAGGTGTCAGAGCCTGAGCAGAATGAGGAGATTGCCCAAGAAACAAATGGGGATAATATTAGTTTTCTAATGCTGTTATAATAAATTACAACAAACCTAGTTGCTTAAAACAACTCATAGTTGTTATCTTCTAGTTTTTGAAGTTAGTATACCAAAATCAGTCCCAGTGGATAAAACCAAGGCATCAGTAGGGCTGCATTCCTTTGGGAGACTTTAGGGGAGAGTCTGTTTCCTTGCCTTTTCCAGCTTCTGGAGGAAACCTATATTTTAGCCAATGGCCTTCTTTCCATTCTCCAAAGCTAGCAGCATAGCATCTTTCATACTCTCTATTATTCTGACATTTCTGCCTCTCTGTGATAAAGACCCTTGTGATTACATTGGGACTGTTTGGATAATTCAGGATGTCCCCATCTCAAAATTCTTAACTTAATCATATCTGAAAAGTCTCTTTTTCCATATAAATTATCATTCACAGATTCTGGGAATTAGGATGTGGACATCTTTTGGGGGACTATTATTTAGCCA